ATAAAGAAAATAGTCTGTTATGCTTAAGTAAATGAAACTCCAATTGACAAAACTGGTTAAAAACGCTGTTTTGTCTCAATTCTTCTTATTTCTTTCTTTGACATTGCCTTAAACCTGTTTGAGGGGTGCCTCAAAACCTCTTGGGGACACCAACGATTCCTCTATATGAGGGAAACACCCTGATCTTACATGCAATGTGAAATATCTGGATGAATCTGGATGAAACAGAAAGAAAAGCAGAGAGAGAGAAAAAAAAAAGGTGTGAAGAGATGCAGACCCTGAAAAATCCAGAGCAAAGTTGAAGGATGGATCAGGGGTTGTTCGGGGAAGCACACCTGCTCCACAGCTTTGAAGACCAGATGAAAGCAGGTCCTCTGTCTTATTATAGCACTTTGAACAACACACGAGTCACTGCATGGCCACAGTGAGAGCTAAAACAAGCTGAAACTTAAGGAAATACACAAACAGACAACGATAATGACATTTGACAGAGTTGTAATACTCCGAAAATAATTAAAAATGCAGCCAGATGCTCAAATGCATCACAAAAATACACAACATCACCATGATTTCAGAAACTTTATGTGTCACCATGACAAACAACAACATGTTCATCACTTTTTCACGTCCTCTGGAAAATTACTTGCTGCATTTCATAATATGTTTGGTTCTTCTCTCTTGGCAGAATCTTTTTCTTGTGTTGTGAAACTAGTGAAGATGTTTTCTAAGGCTGCTTGTTTTTTACCTGTTTGTCTGTGTTTTCTGAAGTGGAAGTGCGCTGAGCTCAGGGACACCATGCAGTTATTTCCTTCTCTGGCCTGCAAGGTGTGCGCAGTATTAAAAATAAATAAATAAATAAAAAAATAAAATAAAATCTGCTCCCACTGTCCCCCACCCTACCCCTCGTATCTCACATTACTGCCTCCCTCGTGAGAAGTGATTCTCAAATTTGTGTGTTTTTTCTGGTGTGCAATGATGCGCGTACTGTAGCTCAGCTTTGCTCCTGCGTGCAGTTAGATCTTGAAATGTTGCTCTGAATCTCAATTTTGCTTAACAGGCTGGGACAGGAGAGGAGAGGGCCAGTGAGAAATCCAAAACTGGCTGTAGTTTTTCTTTTTTTTTTTTTCTATGTAATGCCCTCTGACCACTTTGTTTTTCCTGACACAGATTTAAACAGAGTCAAATGAATTCATAAATAATGTGCACTCAAGTCACGTTAAATGAGACGTCAGTCTGATCGGAGTAATTAGACAACTTTACTTACTTCACTAATTAACGTGAATATCTTTATCTACCGGAATAAAAGCGAGGAAGGGAGAGCTTCTTTCTCTCGATCAGATTATATCACATTCTCGATCTCAGCAGATTTGATACGACATCGCTTTACAATAATGTATGCACCGAGATTTAAAGGCTTCTTTCCCCGCAGCACTGAACTGTAGAAATCCCAAATCCCCAAACTCGTGCCATTTACCGTCGGCACAACGCAACGACGCCTAAGAGTTTCATCTTTTATTCAGCACGTTACTCATGATGAATTAAACAGACATTATCTAAGAGCCTGTGAATTTCAAATTAGATAACATGTAAATCTCTATCTAAGATGATATGTTGTTAACTAAAGTGTTCTGAAATGTCTCTTAAATGCCAAGAATAAGTCTATTAATATGCCAGTGGTGGGGACTGTATGGCTTTGATAAGATCAGTAATAGATGGGAAGCTGCTACACCCAGTGGACTTCTGGCAGAACTGCAACAACTTTAGGCACAAGGCTTATTTAGCGTCGGTGCCGCCAGTAGATGGGATCAGATTTGCTGTCTGACTCTACCTAACGTCAGCCACCAGTCACAGTAGAGCATCCCACCAGTTGATGCAGTCTAGCATCGACCCTTAGGTAGCAACTGATTGATAAAATCTTTCAAAATTCTATTTGTTTGATTTTTTAAAAAAAAGTCTTAATTAGATTAAACTGACAAGTCACAATAACTCCATCCATCCATCCATTATCTACACACCGCTTAATCCTCACTAGGGTCATGGGGGACTGGAAGGAGACACCCTGGACAGGTCACCAGTCTATCACAGGGCTACACTTAGAGACAGACAACCAAGCACACTCACATTCACACCCTATTTTGAATCACCATTTAACCTAATCATGGTTTTGGACTGTGGGAGGAAGCTTGAGAACCTGGTGAGAACCCACACTGCATGGGGAGAACATGCAAACTCCACGCAGAAGGACGCGAACCAGTGACCTTCTTGCTGCGAGGCAACGATGCTAACCACCAAGACACCTTGCAGCCCTACAATAAACTCAATTTATGAAATTAAAATTTTGAAACTAAATGCAAAGAAACCCCATATAGTAAAAAAAACAAACAATCACAGTTATTATTGACATTTACAATTTAAGAAACAATGTACAAAATCAGGTCTTTGTTATGTGTAAAAAATGTCTTTTTCAGTAAAATATCCTCCTTAACTTTAATGGTAAAAATCTCCTTATGGCCGCTATGAACAGGAGGAACTATTACTGAAACCAAAAGCTGTTTTAATGCATATATGCACGTGAGCACAAGACAAAGTTGTAAAAAAATGTTACCTTATCCTTTAAGCCTCCATGAGCTTTGTTTGACCTCTTCAACTCTTGGCTGAGGATATTATAAAGGGTGCACGAAGTGAACCTTCACTGACTATTCTACCTGAGAAACCCAGATTAGCTTAATCGGTATTTAAATGACTTGTAAAGGTGCATTTCCATAAAAATAAAGTAATTTTTTTGTCAAATTTGCCCAGCTATTTTGTGATTTTGACTCTTTTTGACTATTTATTAGTACTCACTCAAATTTAATCATTCTAAATATACAAAAATGTTCTTTATTAGATGTCAGCTGGCCATTTCTTCTGCTTAACTTTCACACTGAAAACATCTGAAACTGGAGGCTGTGGTTATTGGACAATCAAAGCCGTTAAGGGCCTCGCTATCAGCTTAATGCTGGGTTTAATTTCAAAACGGAGGGGAGCAAATGGACTGTGAAATATGTGCTAATGGTAACAAGCTTTCTCCAAGTTTACAGAAGGAGAGAGGGAGAGAGGAGGACAGAGAGAGCATAGAAATCGCTGTTCTGTTATCACTGAGCCTGTACGTATAATTTCACAGAGTTTTGGAGTCAGAATTCTGGGACAAGCTCAATTAAACCGGGGACTGCAAACTCAGGGACAACGTCTTATACTGCTGTGGCACAAAGTTCACAGAGAGGGAGCTCATTTAAAGCAGAAAGTTTCAAACTAAAGCTCAAACTTTACCTCCGTGAGTTTACAATTACAACTATTTGAGATGTGCTATTTGCCAAACAAACAAAAAAAAAGCATACATTTTTGCAAACACAATTTCACAACGTTCTGGAAAATTTGACTGAAAACACATCAAAAAGTGCAGCACCGCTTTACTTGGGCCACCCAGTTGTACATCCACCCATACGAAGGGGATCCAACTCATTTCCCTTAATGCGTGAGAGCAGCCGACAGTCGTACGGTGTTATATTATGTTTTCATTTTCGAGTCTAAAGCTCTAAAGCAGATTAGCAAACTGAATAGTTTAGTATGTTTTGGTTCGCCAATTTGTTTATTTCAAAGGTTTCTCAAAAAATGTGTTAAGTTTGAATAGTCTGAAATAAAACCAAGTGTCACATCGTTTTCCTCAGAGCTGCTTTGGTGCATAATTGTTTAAATTCAGTTAAGGGACAGATCAACGTATTTATTACATATTAGGCACTTAAGACCAGTTCACTGTTTATAGGCTGAGGTGGTTTACGGTAGTACCTAATCAGCTTATTTAATGTGAGATACAAACAGCTTCTTTCTTTCTTAAGGAGGACTAAGTTTAGCCTACTTTCTTAAGCAATAAATCCAGAGGAGAGCAGGAGTGACAGAAAAAGTGACAAGTCTGTGCAGCTGTGAACAGAGCTGTCACTTTAGCCTTTAGAGTTAAAGTCCATCATGGTCTATTTCGCAAAATATATTTCAAAAAGTAACTGCAGGAAAAATTAAAAAGTCATGATTTAAAGGTCTTAAAAATGAAGGTCACACTGTCATGGCTTTACTGGGGAATAGAATAGCGTCATCATTGCAAATTAGCCACACTAACAGCGGGGCTCAAAGTGCAGCAAGAGGAGGGGAAGGAGGGCTGTTCGTCACAGAAGTTCGGTAGGAATAGTTATTGTGGCTTCTAACTGCTCTGAATATTTCTGAAGACAAACAAAGCTTGCAGAAGGAGATTGGAACCAGAGAAAGTCTTACTGGATGCGGAGTAAGCTACAGGAGGCAGATGGATGACGGAAGCAGATGGGCCGTCAGACTCGACTGAAGAGCTAAAACGCCAGGAAACACCCATTAAAGTGCTGCATCTGAGCAAGACAGCAGCTAGCTCACCAGGTAACTGATGCTGCTGTGTATCGTATGCACGCCACAAATAAAGAGAACAAAAGAGAGAGTTAACGAAAAGTTTCAATTTAATATCATACATATGAAATATTAACCTTTAAAGTTGTAGATATGCATCATGAAATATATAAATCTAAGTGTTATCACAAATAAATATGTGTCCTTTGGGATGGTAGCAAACCTGGCTAAACTTTCATTCTCCAATCGCAGCCTCTTATTATTCTTGCTGGATTATAAAAATGTCCCTGCATATTTAAGACTAATGGGTCTAAACACACTTAAATAATACAGGAAAAACAAAATGTGCAGAGAAGAAAAATCAAAAGGCTGCTTTTTAGGACTGCAAAGACGGATCTCTCCTGGTCCTTCCAGGAAGTCTCTTGCAAAAAGTAAGACTATTTATAACATCTCCTTGTAGCTCAAGGCAAGGAAAGAGCATGAAGCTTCAGCTCCTCCTCAGATCCTTTGCTGACAGGTTTTTTAGAAGGTGCATGATTTAATGATACACTCCTGTCATTCCTTTTAAAACACACTCTGTACATGTGCGCTTGGTCTCAGGAGAGGTGGAACATGCTGTAGCCGACCTGTGAGGCGTACATGGCCAGATGTGCGGCGGGGTGAACGGGGACGCGGCCGTATGAGCAGCCCAGTCCGTAGAGCGCTGCTGCCGAACCGGCCTGCACGTTGCTGCTGAGAGGTAAACCTAAAGACGAGAAGCCGGGGTAGAATACAGCTTTGGACCCAGCTGCTATTTTCAGTTTCTCCACCTCGGCCTCCTGAAGCCTCTTGGCTTTGGCTCTACGGTTTTGGAACCAGATCTTGACCTGGGTCTCGGACAGCGTCAGGGAGGAGGAGAACTCGGCCCGCTCCGCGATGGACAGGTACTGCTTCTGACGAAACTTCCTCTCCAGGGCCAGGAGCTGCATGGTGGTGAAGGGAGTGCGAGGCTTGCGGTTGGTTTTGTGCTTCCTTAAGGAGCAGACTGCTGGACTGACCTGCCCTGGAGGAAAACATCAGACGAATAAATTGGATAAATGGGTCACTTATGCATATATACAGTATATATCATATCATATACTGTTCAATTACTGTAACATTCATATAAACAAAAAAGAACTAAAGTGATCTGATCATCCCATTAGGCAACTGTGAGAACATTACAGGACAACTTACTGCTACTGTCCATTTATATCAATATAAACTGATTATCTTTGACAGTTGATAAACACCTTCTGCTCCGGAGACTGTGATGAGCATTTAGCATTACTTTTTTTGTTTTAATTTTATAAATGAAAAGATTAATCGGTTAATCATAAGATGATCACATTTAAATAAATTATTGATTCATTATTGTCACTCAAGCAGAGCAGCCCTAAACAAAACACATGAATGGAAGTTTACATACACTTGTAAAGACCGTGTATATCAGGGCAGTCTTGGGTTTCCAATGACTCCAATGACTCTGAATTTTCTATAATGGAATATTTATAGAGTATTCAGAGGTATAGCAGTCATTGGAAACTCTGAATTTCCTATAATGGAATAACTGAAACCCATGTAATAATAATCATACAGTTTGGTTCTTTAATATATTTATTATAGGACTTTTGGGTGGTGAAAAAAAATAGCTTAGCTGAAATATAAAATACATATTGCTCCTCTACTAACAATATGTGTAGATCTTAACAAAACGGATAGATTTATTACATTTATGTCTGTCTAAAGTTAGGAACTTTCTGAGTATTTTTCACGTCTCAAACATCAGATCTCTCCTAAAGTAAGCCAATAAAATACATAAAACGACACAAATCAACTGTAAAACTGTATTGAAGTTAATCTACTTACGGGCTGGTGTGGACATCTTAATGCAGCTGGATATCCAAGACGGACTTTCCCCTTGTTCCGACGGCTCGGATTTAATAGAAACTACTTGCTGGGAAAACTCCTCCGACCTGTGCGCTCCATCGTCATCCAGATCGTAACTTCCCTCCTCTCGGTCCGTCGCAGCCAGCGGCCTCCTGTCCGACATCAGAGCCTCGACGCTGAAGGGCAAACGGGACACCTGCGCCGTGCGTGTCTTCTGGCGCGCCGGTTCCACATCCTCGTCTGTGGAAAACTCGTCTCTGGAGTCTCCGGGGGCAGACATGTTTTTCTTTACCGTGGCTCAAAATCTAATTCCGATCCAGAAAAGCTCATAACTTTTAGTCACGGAGCGCAAACAAGCAGCGTCCGGCCGGAGAGAAGCTCCCAAAGTTGGTGCTGGAAAAAGTTTGGCAGGCGCTCTGGACTTTCAGCCAATGATGCGTCCTGATCCCAGGATTTGGGGAAGACTTGTGATTGGACGGTTTGTTTGTAGGGAGGGGGGGACTGTGCCACACCCAGACCCAGACAGCAGGTCAGCTACACATCAGCCTCATTTAGCAGTAATTACCACAGAGAAGATTGGTTCTTTAAAATAGCTCACAATGTTTTATCATAATTACTGACAGCAACATTTTTTTTTTTCACTCTGCAAACCCTTGTGCTGACTCTGAAAGCACAGGAGCACAGTCCGGATTGATGTCCTTCATTCTTCCTGTAGGAATTTTGTTTAAACCTGAGGCCTCCTAGGACGCTAATACACAGAAATCAATCCCCTGTCTTCTAAACTCAAGCCCATCCAGCAATTAGGCCGGCGGATTGGCCTGGCGCTGTCTCCGAGCGCCAGGATGAAAAGCATCATCCATCCTAAGAGCTGTAATTCTACTTAACAAAAGCTGACAGAGCTCCTGATTCAAGCCCTAACTCGCAGGACCTGACACACCAATTGTGCGAGTAATCACAATAGTAATCAATAGGAATCATGGTGCTTTAAAAATTTCAGACATCACCTCGCAGCAGCTACACAATCTTCAATGTGAAAGAGCCAGTCGGGAGATTGGATTATGGTTTTGGGCAGGCTTTAAAATGACTGTCATTACATTGTTATTATTAACACCTTGTAATTAGGTCTGTGGAATCCGGTTCTTTTAAGCAGGATTTAACGGTAATGATGGAAAATTGCTACCTTCCTGAGGTGTGTGGCGCCCGCTGCGATTAGTCCCAGTCTCTGCTCTGTCGGCGGAGACAGGGGTGTCTCGTGCCTTTTTGAAGCTCGTACCTGTAGGGCTCCAGCGCATTAGGAAACATCATGACAGGTACGGCAGCGGCTCTTCCTAAACGTGGCCTCTAACCACTGGCGGAAAGGCAATCCGGCATCCTGAAAGCCAGCCAACAAGTGCACGGATGTTAGAAGTGACATGAAAAGGATGTTTAATGGACCTCTGGGTGAGACTTAAGAGTTCACTCAACCAAGAGCAGACATGCACAGGAGCTGATGCAACATTAATGTGCTTATTGCATGAAATGTCCTTCACTCGGCTCCTAGTTTGCTTCATGCCTCCTCGACTGTCCACACACACAAAGGCGTCCTGTGAAGCGACTGGAGCTGTGCTGTCCAGAGCTCTGTGATCAGCCCTCACAGAGAATGTGTGCGCTCTGTAATCAGGAGGATTACAGCGGCATCAGGGTCTCAACTCCCCAGCACCTCAGCGTCATTAGTCTCCATACGAAGCAAAGAGCTCACACAGCATGAGCTCACTCTCCTGTAATAAACACATGCAAATCAATTAAGGGCCCTCTGTTATTTCAGCGGGCTCCCTACTGAGTCCCTCCCTACAGGTTTATGGTGCGCACAGACACGTGGGTGTGAGTGTGTAGGCTACATGTTTGAAGTTTAGGGAGATCAAGACTCGCTGGAAACACTTAGCTACGGGCTAATAACAACAATTTCTCTAGAATCCAATTAGCCGGAAAAAAAAGTAGTTCAGGTTGAACAAACAGAACGAGGGGGTGTAGGTGGATAATGGTGATAGACTCAACGCCATATCAGCATGTTAGATATGTTCTTGAAAAACGGGACATTTTAGCCTTAAATCGGTAATCAGCAAAAGTGTAAACTACAACACACAGTATTGCTGCATTCTAGCAGTCAAAAGGATAAAGAGAGAAGCACTTAAAGGGTAAATTACAGTCTTGTTAGGCTTGTTAGACATTTGTAAAAGCTTGATATGTGCAGAGGTAGAACTTGATGGTCAAGTGGTTAGGGCGTGTGCCACGTGGGCTTTTTCACCACCACACGGTCAGCTGAGTCCACACTTTAACTCCCGTCCAGCCAGACCTTAGCTGCATGTCACTCCTCTGCTCTTTCCCCCACATTATTGTCTATTTCCACTTTGTCTAATCAATGTAAAGACCAAAATCTTTAGAGCAAAACATGTCGTACAAGTGGTTTTGGCAGCTACAGTTAAATGTACAATCTGTCATAGCAGCAACAACAACAGTAGCAGACATCCCACATCCCCAGAGGAGTAGAACTTGCAAGAAGATGTAGTGATTGTATTGTTATTATTATTTTTGTGTATTCAGTAGTAGCTGAATGGTCACATTAGTGAGATGTGCTGGTTTCCCATGCTGAGAATTTGGTCTAAAAACTGCTTTATAGTAACAAAAAGGAAGCAGTTGAGATAAATACTATATGTGGCATTTCTTCACAGGGATGGGTACCGAGACCTGGTATTAAAAGATGCCTGTGGAATCTACAGGCTCCAATGTTAACAGTTCTGCTGATGGTACTTTACAAAGTAAGAAGAACGTTGTCTGCCGGAGCCTCGACAGAAAGCAACTTATGAGTCATACGTTGTTTCACTCTCATGCTCCAATGTGTCTTCATTCGCGGAGCTGTTGAGATCAAAACTCGTCAAATACTGTTCTGAAACATGTCACCTGCTGCAATGCAAGTACGCTACTGATAGACACGTTTCTGTATTATTGTGTGTTGGTTTAGGCGTCGTAGCAGTGAGGCAACACTGCCCCCATGAGGTCAAACAGGAAATGACAACACTGCAAGCTATAATTTTTAACGCTGTTATTTGAAAGGAATACTTTATTATAGATCTAAGGTTTACTATATATATTTTACATTCTAAATTGTTTGAGGAACAGGGCTCATTAGAGGAAATAAAAATATTAGTTTGCTAACAATTTGAGCTACGCCTTCGAGGGTTCGGTGAGTTGACTCTTGATTTTTATTTGTATTTATTTATTTTTATTCTACGTTATATCACATATAAGCAGCTCAGTTAAACATTGTGTAACTGCACGTACAAAGGGAGAAAAACAGAAAGTCAGGAGAACAGGGGAAGGCGTTCTGTTTGTTGTTGTTGTCTACTTAATAGTTTGTTTTTGCCACAAACAGAGTTTCACATGGTTTCCAAAAATATATGATGGTAAAGGCTTGCATATATGTTGGGAAAAGCTCACAGTAAAAAGAGTCTAAAAACAGATACTCCCTGTAATCTGCCACCGGTGTAATTGAGACAGAGCATCGAGGCAGAGCAGACCGTAAAGTAAATGTCCTCAGCTCACACCGACTGCCCGCAACACCAGTGAACACTGTTTTCTCTTCCACTTCACTTCACCTGCATTAGTTCTGCTGGCAGCAGTGGAGGGTATAGACACACATACGTCCACTTGCTGCATAAATATGCACACAAGTTTCAATGTCTGACCTGCATCTTTAGCAATGCAAACAAACACTGTAAATTCTATATGTGGGTAAATGCCTATTTTGAGACGTTTAATTTGGGATATTTACTGTCTTTACAGGATCATGAGGACATTATTTACAGCTTGGACCTTTTTTTTCTGTCTTTCTTTAAACAGCAGCAAATATTTGTAAAATATTATTTTTTGCTGATTTAAATTTTGTAAAAAAACTGCATTCTTTTACTGTCAAATATTGCAAAGAACAAAATACCATGCATAAAAACTCAGATTTTTTATGTTGACATTATTCACAGTGAAGTCTATAAAAAAAAATAAAATAAAATACAAAACAGTTTTTTAAAAACTTGTACAGTGCAGGACTGGGAAATATATCAAATCAACAGGACATATTTGCACAACATGAGAAATGCCTACATTGAAAAACCTACACCAGTGCTAGCAGTGAGAAATACTTCTCTGGAGTCATGACAGGAAAACCTATAGAAGCAAACCTTGCAACACGCTTGAGTAACAGCAGCAGCAGCAGCTGACAAGTAAAAAAGACCCAAGAAAGGTAGTAATCAATCAAACACTGCACAGCCCCATACAACACTGGCCTCTGAATATATGATGACACCTTCTTTCTATATCTCCAAGCCACAGACATCACACACAGTTTCAGTGACGCTTGCGTCTACTTTGGCCGTGTCATTGTTTACAGGACATGTGGCGCCGGGTTCAAAGGCTTCAAACATGCTACTATACATAACAACACACTCTTCCACTGCCGCCATCACAAGCCAATCAAGACCGAATCAATATTTCATTTGGAGACAGTCAGATTAAACAACTCAGAAAACAAGACAGGCACAATCAAGGACAATGTCAGGATAATTGATGTTCGATGTTGTTCTAAGTGTAGGGTGAGCTGGATGACAGCAAACAGCAAAATGAGCTCTTTAAATGCTTTTCCCCAAATCTAAGGAGACGAGTTTATTTGGGGTGCACGCTGGTCTGCATGCCTTCAGATTAGTCGTACACTATAAAGCTGACACCCACCCCTCCCAAAACTGTTTATTTACTTAAGTGTGGTACAAGCGTGGCGCTGCTTGAGAGGGGGCTGTACGCTCTGAAGCAGCGCTGCAGCTTGACACTGCGCTTTCTCAGGCCTGCAGACGTGTTGATGCTCAGCTTCAGCATCATACCAGCTAAAAACGAAGAAAACAGATCAGTGAATCAATGTCACAATTTGAACTCTGCTAAAGATCCACGGAGGAGCTGATTAGTCTTACGTAAATAGAAGACACTGCAGTGACAATCAATGAGCTCGAGGCTTTCTGTGTAGCACTATCATCCATCCATTATCTATCCATCCATTATCTATACACCGCTTAATCCTCACTAGGGTCGCAGGGGGGGGCTGGAGTCTATCTCAGCTGACTCAGGGTGAAGGCAGGGGACACCCTGGACAGGTCACCAGTCTATCACAGGGCTACACTTAGAGACAGACAACCAAGCACACTCACATTCACACCTATGGACAATTTAGAATCACCAATTAACCTCAGCATGTTTTTGGAC